TGAGACGAAACAAAAATGGTACCCCTTGATAATTAACAGTGAATTAGGCTAGTCTATTTTTTTCACAAAAACATTTTCCGTCTAGTTAGCTGTTCACTGATTGTGTGAGAGATTTTAATATCTTTTATGTTTAAAGAAAACACTGTTTCTTTCTTAAGTTTCTCGAGAATATTATTTTCATTTCTGATTTCTTTGTAATCTTATTTGTCCTAAATAAAGGTTTAAAAATATAAATCAGAAATGGTTTTTGAAACTAGAAATAACTTCACAAGATTTTACCCCGAAACAAAGTTATTTTTTGATAATAAAAGAAAGTAACTAAGTTCATATCTTAACATGGCCGTTAAGAGTAGAGGACTTTCGTAGGTTTCTGGTTTTCAATCACAGGTATCTCCGAAGCATTGCTCGTGTATCATGGGACAACCGTATAAGCAATGCTGTCGTTAGGAAACGAGTTCTAGGTAGGGATGGCAAATCAATAGATGAAGTAGTGAAACTTCATCAGTCGAGGTGGTCAGAACATGTGTTACGCATGCCCAACCACTGACTGCCTCGACGAGCTATGTTTTGCAGGGTAGGAGTAGATTGGAAGAAAGCTAGGGGTGACCAAACCAAAACGTGGCAGAAATCCCTGAAGTCATTGACAAGTGGACTAAGTCATGTTGGTAGATGTAGACTACCTGGTTTGGGTCCACGAGACGAAAGTCACCATTGGTTAGAGACCTTGAACGACATGGCTAAAAATCGTTTGCAATGGCGCAGGTGCATCCACTCTTTGTGTTCTCTCTAATTCTAACCTTCTGAATTCCTCATAATCTCTATCTTTCTCCTTCTAAATTTATCTCACTGAATTATACTTCTCGAATCATATCTTCGCTCCCTAGTCTTCTCCATCACTGCTAATACTTCTACCATCGCTATCACTCTTGGATTTGAACTGACAGTTGCGTCTCTGTGCTAATGTGGTATGGCAACCTGAACTGATGTACTTACGTACGAAGGTCTGCGTTGTATCTGCCTCTCTGTCCTTTTTTTTAAAATTTTAATAAGAGTGGTATACATGTTGTCATTATTAACAAGTATTTACCAGATAAATTTAGCTTTTTCCTAACCTGCCTTTGGTATTGTATACCCCCTGTTAAAAATCGATCATTGCCGTTCTCAACTCCAAAATAATATGTCATGATAAAATTTGGAATTCGATATTCATAACAAAACATGATCAACAGTCTGTTAATCAGTCTATAATATTTACAACATTACAGCATATATGTATATACGTACGACATACAAAATAACTGACTACAATCAATTCAATTGAATTCTGTTTATTTCATGCATTGTGTTATCTATCTGTGAATTAACATCATATGCATTGATATACAAACGTGAATAGATGAATATTGACAATTTGCATTATACAGGTTATTGATATGTAACTATAGTTTTTTTTCATATTCTCATTTGCATTATTCAACTAATGTTTGTTTACGTACTTCTAATAAAACTGATGAGTAATATATTACTTCTTAGCTTGTTATCAAGTTATTCCTTATTTAATATCATAGATTTACCCAAATAAATTAACAAAAATGTTAATCTTTGAAAGATGAGTATTATAATATGAACAGTTAAATGGATTTATCTTACAAGGTTTGAACTAAAACTTTTCACATATTGAAGTCACCAATCAATCATTGTTAGATCTGGAAGTACTGGACGGTCGTTTCGTCCTGGTATGGGATTTATCAGCAGTGCGCATCCATGACCCCTGCACCCCGCAGGATATGAACCCGGGACCTTCGGTATTGTGCGCGAATGCCTAACCATCGGACCACTGGGCCGGCATCCAACGGTGTTAATGTCTAACTCTGATTGATCCAGAGGTTTTGCTCAAACTCACCCATTTGTCTTTGGTAGTTACTGCATACACCCGACAGGGTCACGTCTTCTCATCCTCATAAAGTTATAATAAGTTATAAGTTATAATAATATATGTGTTTTCTAAAGATAATTCACAGTTATTGCAATGTAAACATAATTTAACACAAGGATAATTCAATAGTATGAATTAGATAGTGGATAAAAGCGAAACAATCGTGTGCAATTCAAGTATATTTCAACTATAATGCGATCAATAAAGATTGTTAGCTGGATAATAATAAATAAACTGTTGATTTTAGCATTACACCGAATAATTTTACTACAGGTAATTATGTTTATTGTTTATTTAAAATTTAATAACAGTAATAATAATAGTAATGATTTGGAACCAACGAAATCGATTCCTGATTGTTCCTTTAACACATAGTGACCTCAAGCAAATACCAATCAGTCAGCAACGCTGTTGTTAGGAATCGGGTGCTTGGTAAGAATGACAGATCAATAGATGAAGTAATGAAACTTCATCTGTTGAGGTGGTTGGAACATGTGTTGCGTATGCCTAACCACCGACTGCCTTGACGAGCTTTGTTTTGTAGTGTAGGAATAAGTTGGAAGAAAGCTAGAGGCGGCTAAACCAAAACATGGAAGCAACTCATGAAGTCATTAACGAGTGGACTTGGCCATGTCGTTAGTTGTGGACTATCTGGTTGGGGTCCGCGAGTCAATAATTGATGGTCAGAGACCTTGAATGACATGGCTCAAAATCGTTCGCAATGGCGCCGGTGCATGTATTCTTTGTGTTCTCTCAAATCCGACTGACTGAATCAGTTTAGTTTCAATTAAATCATGTTCAGAATCATTTCACAAGTTAATAATATTGGATACTTTCCATACGAGTAATTCAAAGAATTCGAAAAAATTTCTAAAGTAGAATATTTCTCACAAACAAATGTTATATTAATAGTACTAATTTTATATGGGAAACAATTCATCATATTTTCTTAAGACTTTCAACTATGAGCATTGTTAATACGACAGTAAAATAAATCTAGTGAACAATGTAAAACGTTGATTGAAGAGGTAGCTCAAAGTAGGTAGCTGAAAGTAGGTTTCGTGCCATACTGCACTCTTCAACAAGTTGTACTTTTGATCTTTATGGATCTGACGTTCTCCAGTATATTCATTGCCGCGTCACCCATCTTCACAGTTACAGACGTTACCTCTTGATAGATAAAATTCATTCAGCCCTAAGAAGGTTCTGACAAATACGGTATTGGTCATTATTCTGTAATCGGTCAAGTGTAAATCCAGTCAACAAATGTTGTTTCCAATAAGATCTTGATACATTGTGAAACTTTTCATGAGGTAGTTTATTTATTTTACATTTTGTGTTGTTAACTAATGAAATCTCAATCAGGAAACGAGATAAATTCAATTTAAAAACAAATAAATCAAAATTGCAGCCTACACAGTGTAAACTTTGATGTATTTCTTCTGTGAAAAAATATAATCAATAAGTTGAATCGGTGTATGCTAATTTTTAACGATTAACCTTAGACTTATTAGATATAATAGATATGTGCCTCTGTATATGTCCACGTATTTAGAAGTGCAAACTACCTAAGAGTGCAGACCATTGATCAAATTTACAACTCAAATCTAAATCATAATTGCTTTATTGAACTTATAGATAGAACAACGAAAATGCCACACTACCATTAGACACATAAATACATACAGATGCACAATTTGTAATCATTGTGTGATGTATAAACTATGCAAATTTACACTGAAATGTATCAAGAAAATAAATATACAGTGATTATACAATACCAAAGTTAACTGTCTTATTATTCAGTGTAATTTTGTAAGTTGCCACATACATACATCTACATACTAAGCCTAAAAAATAAATGAATGAAATTATCGGAAATGAAATCGTTTCAATCTAACTTTTAAATCAATGAGATAAATAGTATTTGTCAAAATGAAATAAATATTTACTCATAAGTAAAAAGTATGCTGAATAAAGTTCTTATTCACCTTATTTCTATATATACATATACATACATAAAACTATATGTCTGCCTGTGTGTTTGTGTGGGTGTACAGAGTGCATAAGTACAATATGTGCACAATTTACGCATAGAACGAACATATTACAAAACCTAAGTTGTATACAATTGAGTCTGTTTCATTGTATTCTGTCTAATAGTGAGAAAAAAAAGATTCCTGATCGATTATAATCTAATCCAACACTAGCACAAAATGTTAGTTAGTTAGAACAACCATAAGTATAGAGAAAAAAAACTATAAACGAAATGAGAGCAGTTCTCTTCTATCTATACACTGATTGGTTGAAATTGTGAAATTGGTGAAATTTCAACTCATCCAGTCATAAACACAAGGTTAACATTCTCATTTAATGTAATCCATATATTCTCGCTAGTTATGAGCTTACAATTAGACTGAGCAACGCAATATCTGCTTCGGGTTGAATTTTCGTTTTCATTGCGTTGATTGATTATCAATAATTTTCAGAATTCTACTAGAATTATTTATCATTATTACTATTAGTAATAATAACTGTACTCAAATATATTTTAAATATATTAATTCATACATAGAAACAAGAAATCCATTCCTCGGATCATACAAACTATTGTTATCCGAATAGTTGTCAGTAATTGTTTTCTTTATATCAGTCAAGTTGATTTAGAAAACAGAAAATTGACAATACTGTCATCATATTTCGTTATTCTATGTTCATTGATATCTCTGTGTATGTTTTGTGTGTGTGAAATCTGTTAGCTTATACATGTTATACCTTCTTGACAAATTTCTATGCATAGCTATATAAATATTTATAACTAATTTAAGATGAGGAAACTATTCCTCCTCTGTATCAATTGAAGCAAATCACACTTCATTCACTTTCATAAAACAATAACAACAACAACAAAAAAGAAACTTCCATTTAAACTACTCATTGAATTATTTCTTGAAAGAAAAAAAAAACACTATTTAATTTATCCGCTTATTTCAAATATCAATAAATACACGACAAATACGATTAAGACAAGACTAGTTGTGAATTCTTCGTCAACTAATTTGGTAAAATTATTTAGTTTATTGTGAAATTCACTTGACCTCAAATCATTTGGTATTCAAACAGTCTTTGAATTGTGACAATAATGACCAGTGAAACGCATGTTGAAACAGTTCACTTATCGGATTATCTCAAAAATCTTGAAGTAAGTTCAAATTTTATTAATGATTTCAATGATTGTACTGTAAATGTATGTTGATATATATATATACATATATATGAATATCAGATTGTACAAATCGTATGATCGATAACCAAAAGTTGTTTAAAGTGTTTTTATTTTCCCCTTTCCATTTATTATTTTCTTTGCTTATGGAGTATGAATAAGCTTATCATTTGTTTTGTTTTCAGTAAATAAAATAAGCAAAACTAATCCCTCTTCAAGATAATCATAAATATTGTTTATTATATATAATAAAATTATAAAAGTTTACAAAACCTCTTTTAAAGAATTGTTTATAGACGAAATGTAACCTCATATCAGATACTAGGATTACAAAACAGCTGCTTCCAAGTAAATCCAATAGAAATATATCGAACAAAATGAAGTGTACTTCACAGAATTCACAAGTAATCATATGCTGAATATAAAACAGTCTGTAATTGAAAGCTTTGCCAGAGTGATTTGCTTGAAATACACATACACGATATTAGTTTTGACTAAAACCAATAAAGACTTATAAGCCGTCAATATTAAAATAATTAATAGATTAAAATCCACAGGTCACAACAGTTAAACTACCGATAACTGTGTGACGAACTGAAATAAAGCTAACCTAAACATAAATGACAAACAGTTGAATATTCGTAAAGTAAAACCATCATTCAAAACCGTCAGAGAAAATTCAAGGCTGAAAGTTAAAGAAAGCGACTAATAATGTAGTTAATTATAATTTACATGCAAGCGATTGATTTGATTTAGTTTGTAAGAAACATTTTTTTTACACAGCATTCGAACATATAAAATGACTTATATAAATAATGCTAACTAATTCATTCTTACATAATTTCCTTAATTAAGCAACACATCTAAATAAGTGCTTTAAACAAAAACAACAACAAGTATTGATTAACTTTATCTACCTGTAAACATCTTTTGACATTTCATTATAAACTTGTGAAGATTGTCATTCTACACTGAAATCGTGAATGAAACACTGTTAGATTACCATTAGAAAGTGAGATCCTTCAGGTTAACCTCTGGACTCCTGAGCCGGTATCAAACGGTGTTGATATCTAACTTCTGGCCAATCTAAAGTTTAGCTCAACCTTATCCATTGTCTTCGATAGTTAGTGTCTATACTCAACAGGGTTGAACGTCACTGGTCAGGACCACTGATACTAAATGAACATTGATTAAAATTATAAGATGCTTCATCTCATAAAGCTGCTAATTCATTTCAAAAATGTTCATGAACACTTGTCTTCAGTAACTCAGTTAAGCAATCTAGACAAAACACTTGGTTGATAAGATCTAAAACGAATAATTTGAAGTAGATTGCTCCTTAAACAAGACATAAATATCAAGCTTCCCATGAAATTCTCATAAACCAACGTCAAGGTCTTTAATTATTTATCGTTTATTGTAATACGATGATTATTTCATCTTTGACTTGTAAAAACTTTTACTGGTCAACTAATGGTCAATATTTTCCCAACCGTTTTCTAACAAACAATTTCTGATCTACTGATTTACAGTTGTTTTGTTTTGTTTTGGAATTAGCAGCTATATAGAATCTACAAAAAAATGACGAAACGTTTCATCTCAAATTTTAATCGAACATAGTTACATCTTCTTAGAATTAGATTGACAAAACTGTGACTATTGGACTGTTTTGTATTTTACTTCACAAAATTGATAAATAAGTCTGGTGGAATAAATTTTGATTATGAAGTAACCTGATACAATGACTTCAATGAACACTCTACTGACTGTGATCACTTACTTATGAGCCTTAAATGATCACGGTTTTAGCTCCAGTCATTATGTTCTATCTCGGTACGCAATCACTCTTCATTATCCTTGAAAAAATTGAATCATGAATGTTTGGTGTGAGTCATTGTTAGTTATAAAACCACACAGCCATTCTTAATCAATGAATAAATAAATAACACAGTCTACTAGGTTTCATATTTTGAAAGAGTGAACTGTATAAGAAACACAGTTTATTTATACGTCTGTAGATAAATAAACCAATGTTCAACCTCAATGTACTGAGCCAAATTAAAACAATTATTTTATAGAAGAATTTTAGAATCGATCTGATTACAAGTTAAAACTTCAAAAGATTTCACATCTTTCATTGAAGCTAGAAAATTCAACGTAGTACAAATTATTCATACTAAAAATATACCGTATATTAAATACTGAATGACAAGAAAATGGCTTATGAAGTCGCTATTTTAATCACATTAGTAAATGCGTCATATAAATTTTTCCTTCAATGAAAGTCATGTGAATGCTTCATTAAACGTCATTAAAAAAGAATCTGATATATCGTAAAATTTGTACACCAAAACATTCATTTGAATATTGCACCAAAGTTAGTACATCACTTAATTATTGCATTTTTTTTGTAAGGGTGATTCATTACAACAATGTAATTGAATCTTGATTCGATTTTCGTGAATATTCACCACAACAAAACAAACATACTACTAAATATATATTTATATTTATGTTAGTGACTTTTTTCCTGAATATTAGTAACATCGATTTTTTTTCTCTGTATTATAAAATGTCTATTAGTTTTGAATGTTTTTCTTAAGCTATAGACTATAGAAAGTGTCTGAATTACGTGTACATTTAAATTAAGAAAAATAACATTTAACAAGAAGAATAGTGATTGTAGAGAAAGTTTACAATAAAATGGAACGACAATTGCACTGTTTCAGAGAATGAAACATTTCCTTTTCATACAGATCTTTTACTATGAGACGTAAACTAATTGTCAGTTGAACTGACAATTTTGTGTGGTTTACAATAATTTTAACTGACTTGACTTCATCTTATTTAAAATAAATAGTTATTCATTAGTTTTATTAAGCTACAACGTACTTATCAGTTGAAATTCTCTTGATCAATAAGTATGGATGTAATGGCGCAATATTTTTTATTTGAATTATTGATCTGTTAAGGTCATTCATTTATTGAATTTAATTAATCTTTTAATGATATGGAATGTAACCTGTAGAATGTCCTAAACTGTACTGAAATCTGCAAATTTTACAATTACAGTCCAATTTAATTATAATTATGTAGAGACATAGTCGGACAATATCGAACATTTTAAGGAACTGAGACCAGTTCCAGTGACATGAAATTTATACTCACTAATCATAGGATTCAGTCAAAATCTCCAAAAATTTCACTGGTATACACATATTTCTACTTGACAAGCCTGTCAAATCTGTCAAATGTATTTAACGTTACGATTGATGAATTCAGTAAATAGTTTAATTAATCATTCCATATGGTTAGTTCAACTGTTTACGTCACATGTTGTTTACTCAGTTACTCTCATTAAAAACAAACTTTGGTAAAATCGAAAACAAAATTGTCAAACGTTCTCATTATTTTTAATCAACAACATTCACTACAATACAATTTTAAATTAACTAAAGTAAAACTGAAAATTCAATGTCTGGTAAATGACTCATCAATCAATACACATTGATGACATCTTTCAAATTGTTTTACTGTTTACTGAAACATCATAGAAAAAAAAAGCCAATGGCACTTCTTCACATTGTTTTCAACTTAATCTAGCCCGAAAGTAAACATAACAACTAGTTTAAAGCATGAAACTTGAATGATTTGCATATGAGCAAAGAAATATATATATATATGTCAGTTTATAGTGATTGAAATCCATTGAACAAATAATTGTTTAGTTATGCTTCATATTGATTTATGCATTTCTAAATGAACTATTCTCATTCAAATCAATGTTAATCTTTACTTATTTTATTGTTGATAATTATAGCTGATGGACATCTTTTAATAATAGAATTCAAAATTCTTGTTCATCTTTCAGTTGGTATTTTTCTTTTTTTTGAATTGTAAGGACAAAAGTGAGGTAAAACAAGAGAACACAATGAGACAAAATAAAAATTAGAACTTTATTCAATAAAAATCAAAGTTAAAATTAAGGTGTTTATAGTTTTACTTTTTGTTTGATAAATAAAAGTACACCAACAGAGATTCGTTTAAATCAATCAAAAAATAATGAATTGAGGTAAATTTATTTCAAAGCGATTATTCATTATAATGAAGAACTTTCTAGAAATGTATTTTTCTTTGGAGAGAGAAGAAAAATGAAAGCATATATACAACACATATTCATGAAGTTGAAGAAAGGAAATGGCAGTAAAATGTTATTCGTCTTGAATAACGCAAATGATGTAATAGTTAAAAGTAAGGGATAGAAGTTTGTGAATAAAAAGTCATCGGTGTTAAATTTTAGCAAACAATCATACGTCCTAATGATATGAAAATGAATCTTTAATCTTTTAAAAGTTTATTATTTTCAAAAAGCTAATGTCAGCAACGAAAAATCTAAAAATATATTGACTAATAATTAATGCCATCCAGTTATTGAATATCAACTGCTAAATTGCATTACTAAATGTAGTTCAACTATTCCATTTTTTTTTCTAAAGACTTACTCACTTAGTTACGTAATGGAGCATAGGCCGTGGACTAGCATTCTTCAAAAGGCCTTCTTTTCCAGTACTATCCAACTACTGTCCATTCTTGTCATGTCTTTCTCCAATGTGTTCTTTGGTCTTCCGTTAGGATTCCTAAATATGCTCTATGCACCCCCAGCCTTTCTCTCCTGATTTCTTAGTTTGCTAGAATCTGGTTTATTCTCTCCCACAGTACGGTTGTTAATGATGGTGTCTGGCCAATGGGTCCTCAGTATTTTGTGCAGACAAGTATTCAAAAAACACTTATGTTTTTTCACAAGTTCAATCAATAAATCTTCTTTCTAATCTGTTCAGTTTTATTAAATTGTGAATTCTTTTAAAATAATATTTGTCATTTTTGTGTATCTGATTAAAAACACAGACATTATCTGTAATGCATGCAAGTGTAATTTGTGTTGGATTATTTATTTTTTGTTTGTTTAGTAGTTTCATAAA